AACTCTGACACTTTTAATCTGCTTTTCATCGATGTAAGAGGATTCTTTCGAAAGTTTTACCCACATAAGTTATTATATCGGAGAATTTGAAGCAATAACAATTATTCCGTTCGTACTTTACACTCTTGTAACTCTTATAAACCTGTAATTTCGAAATTACTCTCGCGATGAAGATTGCGTGAATTTCGCAACAATTACAACCCATTATCATCTATTACTGGAATTATCCACTAGATAAGGACAGGTTAGCGAATGCCGTAAACATATTGATCATAAATGGCTACTCCACAAAAAAGAACACCTTCAACGTACAGAAACTAATTGTTAGCCTAATACATTTAATTTAAGAATTAATTGCAAAAGTAGCTCAAATAGTTCATACTAAAAGTTGAATACTTGTATGTTTCACTTTATATCAGCGTTTTATTCGCTTGAAAAATGTTATCAAATCCAAATATTTTATTTTATTACATCATAACACATACTTTTTAAGTATTTGTAACATAACTTCCGAGTTTACATAGTAATTTTTCGCACGCAATTTCCTCGAGTGTGTACTTTCCATCAGAGTTAATAACGACAAGAAACCGATTAATGTTATCAAATCCAAGTATTTTATTTTATTACATAATAACATACTTTTTAAGTATTTGTAACATAACTTCCGAGTTTACATAGTAATTTTTCATACGCAATTTCCTCTAGTGCGTACTTTCCATCAGAGTTAATAACGACAAGAAACCGATTAATGTTATCAAATCCAAATATTTAATTTCATTACACAATAACACATACTTTTTAAGTATTTGTAACATAACTTCCGAGTTTACATAGTAATTTTTCACACGCACTTTCCTCGAGTGCGTACTTTCAATCAGAGTTAATAACGACAAGAAACCGATTAATGTTATTAAGTCCAAATATTTAATTTGATTACATCATAACACATACTTTTTAAGTATTTGTAACATAACTTCCGAGTGTACATAGTAATTCTTCTCACGCAATTTCCTCAAGTGCGTACTTTCCATCATGAGTCACATTTCTCATCATTACTGTTATTCACCGATTTCGGTAATGATTATTTAAACAAACTTTGAACTCTTAAATCCCCCGGACTTATTTTTACTGGGAGGAACAATCGAACTACACGTAATTTCCCAGTCTTAATTATCATTCGTCGCCGCATGTCAGTGATATTAGTCACGGTCTTACGACCGTTCGATGATACCAGTGACGTCATTGGTACGAATTACCCACGTGTCACTCATTAAGATGCACATAAATGTCATGACTTAACGCGTGCTCAGAAACGCGCCATAAAGTGAGTAACAGTATAAGTACGTAAATAATGCACCATAAAAATTGTTTTGCCGTTACCTAGTGTAAACAGTCATTATATTTCATCGCATAACATAGGATAAGGTTGCATAAACTGAACCATTTATTCAAAAATATTTGTTTCTTATTTAAGACAATTGAATTTCGTCAAATTCACCGTGGAAGGATGTAACTTATACATTTATTTACGAATGAAAACATACAACGTGACATAAAATTTAATTGAAATTACTAAAAAGAACGAAATGTTAACGAGAAACTGTTTTAGGAATTCCAAAATTAGATACCTTAAACAACAATTGGATCACTGCGAATTTTTTGCATAATATTGTACATCATTGACCAAGTTTAGCCAACCAAGCTTGACTCAGACATGAAAAAATTAAATTGTACATTTTAGGAAACATTGTATTGATAATTTTGTTATCATCATATTGAAGTTATTAATATTTTCTTATACGGTAGGGATTTCAGTTTTTTCTTCCATATACTATTGCAAAAGAATAGGATAACATTCAGCGCGTGAGCAAATACGTTTCACAATGACTCCATATTAATTACAATTTAGGGTAAGTTATTAAGATTACGAGGTTAAGCAACTTCGTTATTATCATCCATTACTCATCCCATCGCCAGATGCACCAGATAAATTACTTACGCCTTGCGCACCAAAGCATACATAAACGTTACGAAACTCCACGTGGTAAAAGGCCAGTCATAAAATAAGCAAGATGTCTTAAGGTGAAGTTAAACACATCGAGGAAGTTGATCGACGTCGGTGAAGAAAATTTTTCTAAATACCTATGGTAAGTTGTCAACGTTCGTTTATATATTGACAGTTGACATATTGACAATTGACTGTGTCGAATTATATTGGGTACTGAATGGCAGACTCTATCTGTCGTTTTTGTACAATAATTATAAAAAAATCGAAGTGAAACTTAAGAAATCAAAGCGTATATAAACGTTATGAAACTCCACGTGGTAAAATGCCAGTCATAAAATAAGAAAGATGTCTTAAGGTGAAGTGAAACACGTCGAGGAAGTTGATCGACGTCGGTGAAGAAGATTTTTCTAAATACCTAGGTTGTCGACGTTCGTTTATATATTGACAGCTGTGTCGAATTATATTGGGTACTGAATGGCATACTCTATCTGTCGTTTTTGTACAATAATTATAAAAAAATCGAAGTTAAATTGAAGAAATCCTCTGAATTCATGATTTCCGAGGCCCTAATTCACTGCAGAGGGACACCTTGCGCCATCTGTGATTTACGTGGCAACTAAATTTTCACTCCGAGACCTCGTATTACCATCGTTTTAGCATAGTAAGATTATATCCTATACCTTACAGCCTTAAAAACATTTGTTTTTCAAAGAAGGCCAACAAAATGAATAGTTTGCAAAAGGCCACTTTAAAGCATTATTTTTTTTCTCACTTTCTCTCGCATTACATTTTTTTTTCTATACGTCGATTCGACGATATCGCTTTTATCAATACGAAGGAAGACGAAACGATCTATTTTTATAAAATATGTTAGATGAATATTGTTTAAAATAAGGTGCAGAGAAAATAAGTAATTCCTAGGTATCGACACAATCGAGAGTATCCTTTCATTCACATTTAAAGAACTATATAAGAATATTTCTTGTTAAAAAAAACATGTGAAATTTATACATTATTAATATACTCAGCAGTGGTACTTGCTGAGTAATTACATCGAGGTAAGAAAAATGCTTTGAACTTCTTTGGTCATAAAGGTAAATGTCAAGGGATCTCTCCTTCTCATCATGTAAAGTGATAGGTAAATCAATTACAAAGTACTATGCGAGCATATTTGCGCAACTTTTCATATTTCTGAAAATCCATAAATAACGATTTTCTGAAAATCTATACTATCAGTTGCGTTATCATAGTGACTATAGGTCCGAGGTCGAAAGAAGATGCCAAGTGCAGTTGTGATTTCCCAGGAGAAAAGAAACGAAGGTCGCACATTAAAAAGTGAATAGTAATTGTTTCAGGACTTATCTGTACTGACCATCAGAAAGTCAAGAAAGGCTCGATGTTTATGTAATGAATAGGTAAATTAAATGTCAGTCCTTACGTTACAAAATCGGGATATATCAGAAACTATAACAAACTAGGAAACAATACAAACAATATTGAGCAGATTTTATTATACATACACAGGTGAGGATAATATTCATTAATAATATTTTACCCGTTTTTATCCATTTTTTTTCAATTTAAATTTCGTTTAAAACGTCACCATCATTAAGCACCTTTGTTAATGTTGAACAGAGATCAAATTTCATTACATGGTGTTAAGGTGAAGTGAAATACCCTCAAAATAGTCGATTCGAATTACACACTTTTTTTTAAGGGCAACGTAGGTATTTAGAAAAATCTTCTTTACCGACGTCGGTCAAGTTCCTCGACGTCTTTCACATCACCTTAATAAGGATGTACCCAAATCAAGTAGAAATCAAGATTCTGTGTTTGTATTCTATATTTTTGCGTAACCATATCCGAATTGTATTCGGTTGAACAAAAAGTTCTCTGTGATTCATAGCAGAAAAACACAGAGATAATTCACCGAAAACAAACGAAATTTTTTATTCAATCTGATTAATTCCACTGAACAGAGGAAAAGGTTAATTTATACACAACGCATTTCACGCGGTACTCCAAATTCCCAAGTAAAGGATGCGATTGCTGCGTCACTTCCGCCCACTCGGACATTCCCACACACGCACGACATTGTGGTACCAGAAGTCCCTAGATAGAGACCTGGAGAACCATCAAAGATTTTTCAGTAGAAGAATAAACGTAAGGAATAGAAATTGTATCAATTGGCAATATCTTTGCTAATGCATACCTGCACCCAATCGCAGACACGATTGGCTACAAGTAATTGATGTAAATTAACGATAATTAAGTCCCTAGTAGCACAAAATATTTGTCCTATATTTTCTATATATTTAACGAATATCGTACATTTTTTAAATATTTACCAGACATTTGAAATATTTGCCAAACGTTTACTTTAGAATATTATCTCTATAATATTTATATAATATCACCTCCATGTGTTTTCATATTTTTCTACCAGATATACAAAACGTTTCATTGTAATACAAGTATTTTTTAAATATTACCCGCCGAATATATTATACACGTTTTAAAAATATTTAAAATCAAATTCACACGTTTTGCTCCCATAATGAAATAGCGGAACGAAAATATTAGAAAAATTTCTCGTGTTTTTTGATACCAAATGAAGTGTCCGATAATAGTCGTGAAGTGAAAAATGTATTTTTATTACGTTAATAAGTTAAAAAATATTTCTCTATGTGTTTATAAATTATTGAAACTAAATATGTCATTGAGATTTTCAAGAAATATTTCAAATACCTTCGAATGAAATCTACAAGTAATCTTAAAAAATCTGTCGCTTGAGATATTTAGCAAAGATTACAAAGAAATATTTAGAAATTATTCTATGCTACTAGGGGTCTATACCTAATATGTGATCTACGTGACGTATTCTAGAAAACCTAAATGCCATATTGTGTCAACGATCTTGGGATGAAATTTTCAGCCAAATCTACCATGTCATCCAAAAAACGTTACAATGTAAATCTTCATTTGTGCTTACCCATAATTTTCTTCTGATCAGTTCTCATGGAATTCAAGCCGAAACCTCGAAAGTATTATGATCCGGTCTTCGCATCAGCGTAACAACGCACGACTTGTAAATCCCACTGAATGAAATGAAATCAATCGATATTGAAGGGTTCCCAAGTTCAGAACTGGGGAGCGCGACCCACCCACTGGGAGGTTTTCAAAGCCGGGGTAGAAGTCCCTAGATGAACAGTTTTCTAGGGAACCGTCGGAGCCCTGGCACCGGTTAAGGTAAACTTTCGCAAACTTGAAGGATTGCACTAGATCCCTAGCTAAAGAGTTTCGATATTGAAGGTTCCCCAAGTTTCGAACTGGAGAGCCACTTGGAGGTTCTTAAAACCTGGATGACAGAAGTCCCTAGATGGAGAGTATTCTAGGGAACCGCCTGAGTCCTGACACCGGTCAAGGTAAAGTTTCCGTGCAAAAGAGTCTCGATACTCAAGGTTCCTCAAGTTCCGAACTGGAGAACCACTCGGAGGTTCTTAAAACCTGGATGACAGAAGTCCCTAGATGGAGAGTATTCTAGGGAATCGTCGGAGCCCTGGTGCGGTTCAAGGTAAACTTTTGCAGACTCGAAAGGATCGCGCCAGTTCCTGTTCAAAAGAGTCTCGATACTCAAGATTTTCCAAGTTCTGAACTGGAGAGCCACTTGAAGGTTCTTGAAACCGGGGTGACAGAAGTCCCTAGATGGAGACTTCTCTGCGGAACCGTCGAAGCTTTGGCGCCGGGCAAGGTAAGTTCCCGTGAAGAAGAGTCTCGGTACTCGAGGTTTCTCAAGTTTCGAACTGGAGAGCCACTCGGAGGTTCTCAAAACCGGAGTAACAGAAATCTCTAGGTAAAGACTTTTCTAGGGAACCGCCAAAGCCCTGGTGCCGGTCATGGTAAACTTTTGCAGACTCGGAAGGATCGCGCCAGTTTCCGGGCAAAAGAGCCTCGGTACACAAAGTTCCCCAAGTTCCGAACTGAAGAGCCACTCGGAGGTTCTCAAAATCGGGGTAACGGAAGTCCCTAGATAGAGACTATTCTAGGGAACCATTGGATCCCTGCCGCCGGTCAAGGTAAACATTCGTAAACTCTGAAGGATCGCGCCACTTCTCGTGCAAAAGCCTCTCAGTACACAAAGTTCCCCAAGTTCCAAACTGAAGGGCCACTCGGAGGTTCTCAAAATCGGGATAACGGAAGTCCCTAGATGGAGACTATTCTAGGGAACCATTGGAGCTCTGCCGCCGGTCAAGGTAAACCTTTGCAAACTCTGAAGGATCGCGCCACTTCTCGTGCAAAAGACTCTCAGTACACAAAATTCCCCAAGTTCCAAACTGAAGGGCCACTCGGAGGTTCTCAAAATCGGGATAACGGAAGTCCCTAGATGGAGACTATTATAGGGAACCATTGGAGCCCTGCCGCCGGTCAAGGTAAACCTTTGCAAACTCTGAAGGATCGCGCCAGTTCCCGTGCAGAAGAGTCGGCAAACCGGAGTGCCACGACACGACTGGCCTCTCGTATTGACTTGCACTCGTATTTACCGCTCTTCGGTCCCCACCACGAGGAGAAATCCTATACATCGCTGGCACCGGAGATAAAGCGCTGCGGAATACGTCGAGGCGGAAACCATGCGGTGAACAAGCACCGGAAGTTTTTCATGGGTCATTCGACTGAATGCGCCTCTGCGGTTTCCAAATCTGTTTATCGCATTTATTTGGGGAATGGGCGGAAATAACTGTCAAGATTTTTCTTTGATGTTGATACGCGAAGTTGACGTACTGATAGCTCTTATGCGGAGTATAAGTACATGTCTTGCGTTAAACCATTGCAAAACCTAATAAAGACCAGCAGTTTGATAAAATGAAGGTGCTATGAAGGATCATTATACATATATACATAAAAACGTCAAAATATTTATAAAACTGTCCACCAAACTGGATCATCATCAGAAATCATCATCAATCGTTGAAAATTTCTGTCGTGCCTTAAACGACATTATTTAACAGTAAATTCCACTTTTATTTAAACAAAATCATATTCACGAACCTCAACATAGTAAATACAAAAAAAATGTTCCCTAAAATTTAATGTTCTCGGATATGTATAATATATCTATCCGAAATTGTTGAAAAAGTTCCAACTTGAATTCGACAATCCAAGACATTGTGTGAATATTTTCCTAGCATGTGCAAATAATTGAAAGTAAAATATTATTTTCAGAACTGTAATCCATAATGTGACGGATATGTATAATATATCTATCCGAAATTGTTGAAAAAGTTCCAACTTGAATTCGACAATCCAAGATATCGTATGAATATTTTCCTAGCGTGTGCAAATAATTGAAAGTAAAATATTATTTTCAGAACTGTAATCCATAATGTGACGGATATGTATAATATATCGATCCGAAATTGTTGAAAAAGTTCCAACTTGAATTCGACAATCCAAGACATCGTGTGAATATTTCCCTAGCATGTGCAAATAATTGAAAGTAAAATATTATTTTCAGAACTGTAATCCATAATGTGACGGATATGTATAATATATCGATCCGAAATTGTTGAAAAAGTTCCAACTTGAATTCGACAATCCAAGACATCGTGTGAATATTTTTCTAGCATGTGCAAATAATTGAAAGTAAAATATTATTTTCATAACTGTAATCCATAATGTGGCACGATCCTGCAACACTAGCCGCCCTCCAGTGGCTACAAGGAAAATAAAGAGTCGTAAATTATAACAAATCCCATAACCTGACAAGTGTATATATACACGCTCAGTTGGGAAGTTCCCAAGTCACTGGATTTCCCCCAGATTTCGATCTACACCGCAAACGGGAGTGACGTGTCACCAGTTCAAGAGCATTTAATGGTCGAATTCGTTGAGAAGCTTACTTACACATTAGGAGTGCATATTAAAAACAATGTCATATTAAATAATATCACGGTATTTTTTATCTCTAATGTTAGCTGGTTAACTTTAATGTTTCCAATTTCCAACGGCATGTTCCTTTCAAAATTTCAATGATTGGGTCGATAAAGATGTTACCGAAATTATGCCATTATTGTACATCCATCCTTGATAGTCGTTATCCCACCAAACACTATGTTACAATTACATAACACTAGAATATCATGATATATAACGAATTATATTCAAAGGATAGATTAATATCATATAACGTCAAACGATTACCATTCGGTAACATTGTTACAAACTTGTTAGCATTGCAGTTATATAATATTAAAATAACATATAACATGTTACCGATATGTTATGTATAGGTAACATTACTCGTTTTATAACAGTGTTATATAGCCGTAATGAAATTATGCCATTATTGTACATCCATCCTTCGTAGTCGTTATCCCACCAAAAACCCTATGTTACAATTACATAACACTAGAATAACATGATATGTAACAAATATTGTTTAAAAGATACATTGATATTATATAACATCGAACCGTTCGGTGACATTGTTACAAACTTGTTAGCATCGCAGTTATATAATATTAACATAACATATAACATGTTACCGATATGTTATGTATGCGTTAAATTATTTTATAACAGTGTTATATAGCCGTAACCGAAATTATGCCATTATTGTACATCCATCCTTGGTAGTCGTTATCCCACCAAACACTATGTTACAATTACATAACCCTGGAATAACATGATATATAACGAATTATATTCAAAAGATACATTAATATCATATAACGTCAAACGATTACCGTTCGGTGACATTGTTACAAACATGTTAGCATCGCAGTTATATAATATTAACATAACATAAAACATGTTACCGACATGTTATGTATACATTACATTATTCATTTTATATCAGTGTTACATAGCCGTGTAGGAAATAGTAATACAAATCTTACTTATATATTATACATATGTTACATTAAATGTTATAAACGTTAAGTAATGGTTATATTATTGTCACATAACCATGTTTGGTGGGTATTGATCCGAACCAGTGTAATTTGCTAAGTCTTGGTGAAACCTCGATGATTATTGTCTAGGGACATCGAGTGAATAAAAAATGCCGTACCACGTTTTACTCACGACAGAACATTTATTCTTCTATAAAATTCTTAACTTTCCCAGAATATAATCTGTCTCAAAATTGATTCGCGCAATTGGAGGAGGTGAGCGTCAACTGAAAGTAATTGCGGTTCCATTAAGGCGTCGTCATATTGCGATTTATCGGTTTGCAGGGAATTTCAAACAATAGAATTCAATTGTCACGAGTCATCGATTATAAGATGAATCTCACAGGATACCGTAGATCCTTATTCACTTCGATTATATCTAGAAAAAGCGGAATGCCTTTCGAAGAATGAAGATGAGCAATGTAACCGTTTACAGTGGATTGAAGATTTAAAAAATCAAGAGCCTCGATTAAATAATATTTATGATAAGACTAATGAAACAATTCAATTCATTCGTTAAGTTCAAAGATTCTCGCCCAATAAATTACAAAAATATTTCCTTTAACGTTCTACATTAAGGACGTTACACCGTAAATGTTGATTTCCTATGAACAGTATTAAATTTAAATTATCTAGCTTCAACACTTTTTTTTTTCTGAAAAATAAATCTCGATAAATGGTTTCCGATGTACCAAATTTATGCGGCTGTGTCAGCCATGAGGCCACTGTGTTGACTCCAGCTAATCAACCAAATTAAGGTGATATGAAAGAGTTAGATTATATATATCTGAGAGGTCAAATCATTGATAAAAGTATTCTCCGACTTAGGGATACCGATTCATTTCAAATTTTGTCACGTGAATATAGAGGCCCTAAGGTAGGTCCTGACACTCATGACATTACATCTTTCATAAAAAATGTATTTATTTATCATGGACTGGAACCAACGTGGCGTGGTCCGTACACATTTTTTGATGCTTTACGCTTCTTGGAGGCTTAGAATAAAAAATGAAGAGTTTCAAGACCTAGCTCGAACAATTTAGAATACCGTAGAAATGGAATATTACAGAGTCAGATGGGAAAATATGGAAAATACTTTCGCCAACGATTGCAAGAGAATCCTGGCTCGTCTCGGGGGTAATACGTGTCTTTAGAGAAAAAATTTAGTTGCAGCTAAACGTCACAGATGGCGACGTTGGTCCTAAACAGTCGTTAAAATAATAAAAGTAGGTCCCGAAACTCATGAAATATCAGTTTTCATACAAAATTTCTTTATTTATCATGGACTAGAGGCAACGTGGCGTGGCCTGTGCACGTTTTTGATGTTTTACGCTTCTTGTAGGCATAGAATCGAAAATGAAGAATTTCAGGGCCTAGCTCGAACGATTTAGAATATCGTAAAAATGGAATATTACAAAGGCAGATGGGAAAATATGGAAAATGCATTCACCAACGATTGCAAGAGAATGCTGGCTTGTCTCGGGGCTAACACGTGTCTTTAGAGAAAAAATTTAGTTGCAGCTAAACGTCACAGATGGCGACGTTGGTCCTAAACAGTCGTTAGAATAATGAATTCCCGAGATTTCGACAGTTTTACATCGATCTCTTCATCAATACTTTACAGAAATGACATATGCAACGCTTCAGTTCGTATAATTCTCAACGTAGACTGTAGAAGACTTCAACATTATATGAATGTTAATAACGGGACGCTCTAGCTTATATTACCACTTGAGTATTCAAAATGACGTTACCGCCAAAATGGTTATAGATGAATTTAAAATTATCGACCTCGATTAAATTTCTCAGCGCCTTTAATATCATCTTAATATTTTGATTGTGATGCACTTTTATTAGAAATTAATCAGTGTTCCCGATAAGTGACGGATATGGCCAATGGTGAAGTAAAAACTACGAACCTTCTTGTGCCGTGTATAGTGTTAGACGTAATTTCTCTGCAAAATCGTAAGACTTTCTTCCGTGCCGAAATATTGAAAAATCGATTCAGTAGTCACTAACTCTTCAGATATACTGTTCGGCATAAAGAGAACTCGGTATCTTTTATAGGAGATCGGCTCAATTAATGACTTCCGTCGCATAATGTAAGTCGGGAATTTATACAAGTGTTCTCAAAAAGTGAAGAGTCGTGAACGGAGTTACCATGACTCTCCAGAATATGATCAATCGTCAGTTATTTAAGGCAATACGAAAGACAGAATTCCGCAGTATTTGTAGTCGTCTATAATTATATAATTTTTGTAATTTTAACAATATTTATTAACCGAAGAAGTTTGAATTTTATAATATAATTTCTTTAATAAGTGAAGAAGTTCAAGTATTAAAGGTAATCCATTCTTTTATATCCGAGCTTTATCATAAAGTATATAAAATATTATTTTATCGTCGTGAAGTATATCAAGGTTTAAATAATTAGCCGAATGCAGAGTACTCCCGTTATCAATAACGTTTACAAAACGTTAAAATGATAATTGAATATCCTGATTTTTATATTTGCATTTTAAGAATCACATTCTGTTTTGAAATG